AATATGGGGATTTCACTGATGCTGGATGTCCTCCTGCTGCATGCTACTTTCCATGCTACACAACAGTATCAGCACTGTTCAACAATAGATGGCTATTTTCCTATAAATAAATTATCCTTCCATTATTTGTTACTTTATACGCCTGCGTAACATTTTGTAACAGGCTTGTTCAATTCATTGAGAATGTGGTAACTTGAAAGAAAAAAAATGAGTATTGTGGGTTATATTAAAGTGGAACTGACATTTAAGAAATTCAAACTAAATAGAGAAATATTTTCGTACCCCTGGTCACTGCCTGGTATTGCCGCAGATGGAAGTGTTTCATATTTTCCTCCTCTTCACTTACTACAAGCATTAACAGAAATGAGAGAAGGCAGAAATGTAATGAGCTTATAGGGGATATTTCCTGTTTAAATTACGACGGAGGTTTTAGTGTAACATGTTTACATAGATGGAGAAATTTGTATTTTTGTGATGAAACTGAACGTGTCTTCCAAGATAAGCTTATGGATTGAGTTTATAGATTACCATCAGTTTCTTAAAGGATCACTATAGGGTCAGGAACACAAACATGTATTCCTGAACCTATAGTGTTAAAACCACCATCTAGCTCCCCTGGGCCCCTCATGCCTCCATAAATATAGTAAAAATCTTACTGTATTCAAGCCTGAAGCTGTAACTCTGCATGCTGTTAGACTCAGAAAAACAAGCTGTCTGCTGACATGTAATAGCCTGATCCAATCACAGTGCTTCCCCATAGGATTGGCTGAGAATGACCAGGAGGCAGATCAGGGGCAGAGCCAGCATGATTCAAACACAGCCCTGGCCAATCGGCATCTTCTCATAGAGCTGAATTGAATCAATGAATCTCTATTGAGGTCAGAAAATACAGTGTTTACATGAGAGGCTGCAGGGAGCTATAGTTGTCACCTGAACAACCTCATTAAGCTGAAGTTGTTCAGGTGACTATAGTGTCCATTTAAAGTGTTAGTCTAAGCATCATACGCTCTTTGCATAATTGCAGAATGAATGTTGTTTGTGCAGATAGCTGTGTCTGAGAGTGGGCTATAATTAGGGTTTACCAGATCCATGTTTTCAGGGACACATATCATGTATATTAGGGCTTGACTAATTACATTTTTAATTTAAAAAAAAAAAAACAAACAAAGCTTTTTCAACTACACAAATACCATACTTAAAGGGACACTATAGTCACTACAACCACTACAACTTAATGTAGTGGTTCTGGTGCCTATATCCTGTCCCTACAGGCTTTATGTAAACACTGCCTTTTCATAGAAAAGTTGGTTAGTGACAGTCACTCATACACCCACTAGAGTTGCTTCCTGGGTCTGTGCTGCACTGTGCAGCACTTGCATTCATCATCGCCAGGCTCTGCATGGAAGCGCTGAATGTTCCACATAGAGATGCATTGATTATAGGCATCTCTACAGGAAATGCGTATTAGTGCATGCGCAATAGCTTCCTAAATGCTTGGCTGAGATGATAAAGATTGATTATCCCAGCCATGGAGACAGGGAGACCCCTCAGTGAGGCCGGCACAGTGTTGGGGGGGGGGGGAAAAGGTGAGTAAAAACACTTTTCCAATATGATCTTAGAGGGGTAGATCGGCACATTCACTGACACAAGGTTTGATGCAATGTAACAGACACACATCCACTGACTGGCAGACACACACTCACGCATTTTCACACTCACAAATTGTTTAATTTTTATTTTTTATTTTTTTTTACGTCCAACCGGCCTTCCTACCTATTGGAAGAGCTAGAGTGGATCCTTACCCTGGGTCCAGTGGAGGTGCTGTGATTCTGTAACCTGTTTAGTGAGGGCGGCAACAGAGTGACGTCATATCCAGGCTTTCGGGAGCAGAGTAAGAAGAGCTTGAAGGTTACAGCTCCTCCCTTGCCGTCTTGCTACATTTTTCTCTTGGCCAGCCGTCTATGTTCTCCCTCAGCTGGCTGACCACCGTGGCTGAACAGGATGAAAAACACCCAGGCACCAGCACAAAATTTGTCGAGCCCTGATGTATCCCTATTGATGGGCAGCACACGAGAAGGGTTGCCCTGTAGTATGTAGAATTCAGAAGACTGTGTATAAGATTAAAGGGACACAATAGTCACCTAAACAACTTTAGTTTAATGAAGCAGTTTTGGTGTGTAGATCATGCCTCTCATGTTTAACTGCTCAATTCTCTGCCATTTAGGAGTTAAATCACTTTGTTTCTGTTTATGCAGCCCTAGCCACACCTCCCCTGGTTATGATTGACAGAGCCTGCATGAAAAACAAACTGGTTTCACTTTCAAACAGATGTAATTTACCTTAAATAATTGTATTTCAATCTCTAAATTGAACTTTAATCACATACAGGAGGCTCTTGCAGGGTCTAGCAAGCTATTAACATAGCAGGGTATAAGAAAATCTTAATTAAACAGATCTTGCAATAAAGAAAGCCTAAATAGGGCTCTCTTTACAGGAAGTGTTTATGGAAGGCTGTGCAAGTCACATGCAGGGAGGTGTAAATAGGGTTCATAAAAAAGGGGATTTAACTTCTAAATGGCAGAGAATTGAGCACTGAGACTGCAGGGGCATGATTTATACACCAAAACTGTTTCATTAAGCTAAAGTTGTTTTGGTGACTATAGTGTCCCTTTAAGCAATGAAGAATCCTGCATAATATGCATTATACATTCTGAGGAACCCTTTTCATGCATTTTAAAAAATATGACAAAACTATGTGTCCCTGAAAACATGGTGGATCTGGTAACCCTAGCTATAGTGGCAGTGATTTGTAAATTTAAAATGAAAGAAAAATGACAACATTTTGTGAGCTGCCTTGTAGCAACAATCAGGCAACCAAGAACACTTAGTTGTGGGTTGTCCGTACCAATTCTGTCCCTATTATGCATGTGGTGTGTAAGGAAAGAGCCGTGCCGCTTTAAAACACAACCTAGTTCATTTAACCTTATACGGCACCACCACAAAAAAAGCTTTTACTAAAGATACATAGAATCTTTATGGAATACTCATACTGACTGTATTGGAATTTCACTGAAATGCCAACTCCGTCAAAAGATATACTGATACAAAGTAGGGACTGCGTTGTCTCTGTTCCTCTGCCTGACACTTCTAGACACTGGGCGGAGCTACCGCCGTATCGGAGTGTCAAGCCCCCCAAACTGCTCCGGGGAATTGGCTTTATGTGTGGAAGGTCTTGTGGGACCCTCCATAGACCTTAATGCTGTACTCACATGCATGTGCGAGAGTACAGCAGTACTATTTGCTCCTGGCGCTTAAGTGCCAGTAGCTGAAGAGGACCCGCCGGAAGATGGCAGTGCCCGCTATGTTCAGGCAAGTATAACTTGTGCTGCTGCTTTAAATTGCTGCTTCAGTGTGGATTCTATCAGTTTATTGAACAATTCCAGTCATCCCATGTGATAATTGAAACTGCCGGTAGAGGAAGATAAGTTTCCTTTTGGGCATGAGATTACGGCCCCCATAGATCAGAATGAAAAGTTCCTAGAAGGATTCTCTCATTCTGGTTTGTGAGTGGCCTGCTTGGGGCTGCAGGCAAATACACTAATAACTAATATATTAGTAGTACACTACAAGCACCATAACCACTACAGTGGCTAATTTAAAGGAACACTGTTAGAAATATAAAAAACATACTCCATAAACGTGGTAGCATGCCCTATCCCTAACTTATTAGATTGCCCCCACCTGCGGGCATGAAAGGGTTAACACGCATATTTTTCCTCTTACATGTTTCCAGTGCTGAGGTTCCTTGCCTCTGTATCGGTCTCCTCCTCCTGTGGTGTCATGCTGATGTGGGTAGATAATGCGCATGTACGGTGCCATAAAGCTTCCCCATTGTTAAGCATTGATTTAATGATTTCCTATGGGAATTGGAAAACATTTGATGTCCTCCACTCCGTTTGAGTCCAGAAAGCGCCTCTAGATGTTGTCTGGGAGGCAGCCACAGCAACATTGTTTTACATTGCCGGGTTAAGGGGACATGGGCACTGCGCCCAGACATCTTCAATAAGATGAGGTGGTTGGGGTGCCTATAGTGTCCCTTTAAGTAATCAAATGATTTTGGAAAGGAGTTGACCACTTATCTGTGGTACGCGTGTCAGCCTCCTCCAGGAGAGCCAGAATCTCACTGATCTTGCCCAGTGGTGCAGGGCTTGGCTGGTTCTTTTTATCCACACGTCACTGACCCCTTTCGATGCCATTTGGCACTTCCTATGCATTGCCAGGCAGCCACATTGGGAACATGTCACTTCACCATTCATATCTATGCATGTGCTTCCTTCCTTATTTCCAGTGTGTGGGGTCCTCAACTCTGATGACTGTTTGTTTAGTTGAGGTGCATAGAGCTGTACTTCTATCACTGACAACTGAAGGCTCCACTCGGCTCACACTATAGTGCAGAATGCTGGGCATAAAGTCATTACAGCTGAATCTGCTGGAAAATATTTGAAGCTGCATGCTCTGAATAACCATTGAGGACCATAAAAAAATCCATACAACAGGGCTTGACTTATTTGCTTGGAATCTAGGAGCCAGGTAAAAAAGGAAAGTTAGCAGCCAGTATATTAAACATCAAAAATAAAATTCTTAAAGGTACACTATAGTCGTCAGAATCACTACAACTTAATATAATTTGTTCTGAAGTCTATAGCCTGTCTCTGCACTGTTTTCAATGTAAACACTGCCTTTTCAGACATTGCTGCCTAGTAACACCTCTAGTGACAGTCACTCAGTCCGCAACTAGAGGTGCTTCCTTGGTCAGTGCTACAGTGCATGGAGGTGCTGAATGTTCCCAATAGAGATGCATTGATTCAATGCTTTTCTATGAGGAGATGTTGATTGGCGCAGCATTGCGTAAATGTATACCTCGATACTAGCCTTTGTGTAGCTACTTGTAATTAAATAAAGATTGTAAAACAACAAAAAGTTGGTATGAATGTGGAAATATGAACTTCAGCTTTAGTATTCCAGCTCAGAACGGAAACCGCACAGGTGGGGGACAGACAGGTAAGTTCCTTAATGGTTTGAAAGTTTACTGTCGAATGAATCCTGAGGATTTCTGCCTCTACAATGAGCTCTAGTGGTTATGGTGCTTAGGAGTACCCCATTTAACCGGTGGCCTTCAACAATATGCAGCAGCTAGTTAAGAAGGTATCCAAAGGTATTGTATGGCAGAGCTTCACAAATCCCAAGTGCCTGGTGACCAGCTGCCTGAGCTTGGAAGTGGGCAGATGGCTCATGAAAAGCGGAGGCGGGCAGGCAGCTCACGAACAGCTGAGGGAGACGGGCGACCAGCTCGGGCAGAGTGGAGGCGGCGATGGAGCTGTCCTCTTCCTGCTCTGCTCCATCACGCGCACTCCAATGATGTCACTCTGGCCCGGGCAGGGCGATGGTCAGAGCAGCACCACTGGACCCCAGGGAAAGCATCCACTCCAGCTCACCCAAAAATAGGGACACTGGGTCACTGCCAGTGAGGAAACTAGGGCAGTATGTACACTAATCTGTTTGCCAGGCACTCTCCTCAATAACTCTTCCCATAGTGTCTCACTTTCTCGAAGGAAGGTATTTAGTTTCTGACTTGGGCTGTTAGTGTCTTTTATGTATCACACAATCTACTACAGGTTTCTTATGCCTCAACCAAGAGCTCTCAGAGCTGTTAACATAATCCTTCCCAATAACATTCGCTCATGGGAACTGACCCGATCAATGGGTCTAGAAAGCAAAAACACCCAACGATTCAAGGGGATGGACCTATGGAATAATGAGAGGCCAATTTGCGAATTTCTAAGCAAATAAGTACATGTGGTGGTACGTACGCTTGTGCCCACACAGGCTCCCACACAAATCCAAATCCATTTTTCCCCATTTTAAATTATTTTACTGGTGTTACATACCAACATAATACTGCACATTCATACCAATCTAGAAAAATAAAACTTTGTTTGAGAGCTGACTTTTTGTTTGATGCAGAGTTTCTGCCACTTTAGTTTCTCATACAAGTCCTCCTGTACCATTTTAGTGATTTTATTCAATCTTACTCTCATATTCCACAAGGGAGAGGTCCATTAAAGGAACACTCCATATACCATAACTACTGCAGCCCTCTGTAGAGTATATGGTACCAGGAGTGCCGCTGTCCCAGAGTTATCAGTTTAAGTAGTTTGACTCTATATTTTTCTCAAAGCTGAAGAATCCATTTGTCAGTGTGTGTTCAATAAGGCTACGTATTCAGTTTATTCCTAGGCTGAGAGTGACACGGCATTGCGGCCGTAGTGGCTATGGTGCTGGGGGGGGGGGAGGTTTGAGCTTTACAAATGACTGTACCGATGATCTCTTAATGCTAGCAGATCCTTACATGTCTATGTAAGTGGCTTTCAGAATGCCCCATGAGCCAAATTAGCCTATTTCTGGATATTTGTTTGTGTGTGCAAACATGAAACGTGTTCCTTTCTGTCTACCCAGTGTGTCCGGACCTCGTAGACAAATACCTCGAGGAGACGTCCATTCACTACGTCACGCCACGGACAGTCAGCAGCCCAGAGTGTGGCACCCAGCACCCTCAAACATCAGGTAAGTCTCAGAGTGGCGAGGGACAATCCTCAATTTATACATTGCCGCATTTCGAGTAAGTGATCACAGATAACTTCCTCCCCACACTTGTGAATGGGAATCCACTCTGGAGTAGAACACACTGCAGCAGCTATCGCAGCTCCTGCCCTTAACCTGTACCTGTCCAGCCTGGTCCTCACTAGAAACCCGGGGAAGCCATATTCACAGAGCTGCAGAATTAGCCGCCACTCCCCTCAAACAAATCATACGAATAGCCCACCACTGACATCCACATACATGCAAACAACCTCCACAAGCAGCTGCACACATACCACCACCAAACAAAAGCTTTCAATACTTACCCGATTCCTAACTGTTCTCCCTTGGCTCTCTGCCTCCTGAAATGTCAGTGAGATGAAGTGGTGTTTATAGAGTCCTTTAACATAAAATTCAGTCTTTGAATCCTGAGGAATGAGCACCACTCCTTGCAATCATTGGGGCACAGGTGAGGGTATTGCACACGTCTACCTTTCTACCAGTTATGTTCTTTCACTCTTTCAGCTCCTCCTCAACACCCTGTGGTATGTTCCTCTACCCCTGGACATCCTGTATGCACTAAAAGGCCAGGCAGAGGAAGACCACCATTAAGCAGCCACAGGAAGAGAAGAAAGTCCATTACACCAGATCCAAAGGAAAAACAGACATGTGGTATGTGGACATGTCCAGTCAGTCATTGCTTGATGCTGAATGTTCTCTTCTCTACCTCTCCATAATGTTATGCTGGACCACAATGCCCTGCTCTCCAATGGAATTTATAAACGGGGATATTGGAAATCTTGTTTGAAGAGCAGTGATGTGCAACAACACAAATAGGCATGTGTAACATTTAGACTGTGACGGCACTACACATGCGCGTTACATCACAGTATGTTAGGGTATGATACCCAGTGGACTTAAAGCCGTGGCTTGAGGCTGTGCTGGCAAGTCTTCAAATTAATAAACTCTTACGCTTTAAGAAAAATTAGATGGTGGGGGGAGGGGGGAACAAAGGTAGGCACTGTAATAACTTAATCTTTGTTGTTTTTACCATAGATATCCGCCTACGGGTCAGAGCAGAATATTGTCAACATGAGACTGCACTTCAAGGAAATGTGTTCTCCAATAAGCAGGACCCTTTAGAAAGACAATTTGAACGTTTCAACCAGGCCAACACCATCTTAAAATCCAGGGACCTTGGCTCTATTATCTGCGACATCAAATTTTCTGAGCTCACATACTTAGATGCATTCTGGCGCGACTATATAAATGGCTCATTGTTGGAAGCCCTCAAAGGTGTCTTTATAACAGACTCTTTAAAGCAAGCTGTAGGACACGAAGCTATCAAATTGCTGGTCAACGTGGACGAGGAAGACTACGAGGTTGGCCGCCAGAAATTACTTCGGAATTTGATGGTGCAAACTTCACTGTGACGCTAACTAACACTTTAGGTTGTGTTTACTAAGCACAGCTAAGCTGTACATCCCTCAAAGACTTAAATGCTGCTTAGTGAACATGGCTCTTTATCTTGGAGTCCCCTTAACCTTATTATTTTTGAGTACTTTTTTTTTGATATATAATTAAAAGGTAAAAAAAATTCAAAGTAATACAAATGTATAAATATATATAATGTAAGCACTTTGTTGCTTTCAAGCCCGTGAAAATGAGGAGTAGACCGGTCATCCAAGCTGTTAATACGCTGTGCACCTTTAACATTAACACAAATCTATATATATAATGTATATTTATGTGTAATGTATATGCAAGGTGGAGAGATTTCTGTAGGCTTTTTCGAGAGAGGTTTCGTTAACACATTGACATCATATTTCTTTTTATGTTTAGAATATTTTATTTTTTTTGTACTTTGTCATAACAGATTATCGAACATCCCCTCATAAGTCACACTGTTATCCCTCTAAGCCAGATTTAAATGTCTTCTAGGTTTTTTTTTTTCTTGCAGTCAACCAAATACTGCAATTCTTTCTACAGATTTGGGAATATAATCATGTTAATTTATTGTAAAGCCTATTTTTTTTTTTTAAAGGAAAGAAACCCCTATTCCCTCCTCCCCACCCCACCACCAAAAAAAGGTAAAAAAATTAACTGTCCTGTAGAGGTTGTGTACTCGTGGCCAACTGTGCTCTACTCTGACCAGCCTAGAACATTTTAAAGAATTTATCATGTTTTCCAGTGTGATACGTAGAAATGTGCCTCTGCCTTAATTTCCTATAACCTGTGTCACCTCATATTTATCTGTGCTGTGATTAGTAACATTTGTTACTTCACCTCTGGTCCGTCAGAATGTCCAGTTTTATAAGACAATAATCCTTTTTCTGATTGGTTCAATGTATTTAACCTAATCCTGGCCACGTGCATAGAACAATTTACCTCAGAGAACTTTACTGAAGAACGTAATGACAATTGATATAGAACTAACAAAAAATAATCAATTTTTGTTTTTAAAAGAAAATGTTGACATTTTCATTCTCTGCAATGTGACCTGTAACGTTATCACTTCAAATGTTCTGAATTCTGTTTGGCAGATGAAATCCAAAATGGCCACGTGTCCATATACTTCTCCCGAATTCTCCTACAACTTTGGGCACTTAAAATGTTCACTCCTTGTCGCTATATAGACCTGATGCTGCGCGCGGTGTCTCTTGGAACTGCATAATAATAAAAGTCAGGATGTGTTGGTCCACGTGGAGAAAACGTAAAAAGAACTGATTGTATGTTATATTCAGGATATGTGCAGAAAATAAATAATGGACCGTAATGGCACGTTTTATGATGAAACTGATTTATTTTGAATAGAAGGATTTAATGTATGTGATTGTCGGATCTCAAACAATGTCTTTTTGTCAGTGTTAACATATTTTTATCCCTCCCTCACGTTTTTGGCTGCTTAGAAAGAGTAAAATATTTGTAATTCAACCTGCAATTTTTTAAATATATATATATATATATATATATATATATATATATATATATATATATATATATATATATATATATATATATATATATATAATATAAAAATTATTAAATTTTTATTTTATTTTTTCCTCCTCGAGTGGCAAGGAATGGTATATACAGCTCACTGATCTAAGAGTTTCTTGTGTGCTAGAATTTCAATGAAATGTTTCTATTCCACTTTTAATTTAATTTTATTTTTCCTTTGGCGAATCTGCAACCTTTGCTCTAAGCGGTTGGTAAGTCCTGCTAAATCTAGGCTCCAAATAAAACTGTCTCAAGAAGTGGGCTTCCAGAGTCATGTTCGGTCTTATTTGTGTGATTGAGTATATGCACAAGTGTTATTTTGTTGGGTGGAAGTGTAATACCAGTAGCTTTAGAGGGTCATTGCTACTTTATAGCAAACTGGAGAGAGACAGCAACACTCAATATCCTAGTATGCAGCATTTGTGAAACCAGAGACCACTTTCTTCTCTTCCTCATAACCACTTACAATGGAGTGCTTAAATATCATTTAATCATGGGCTCTGCTGCAAACTCTCTTCCCATTGTAAATTGTACTTATGTTGTTAATTTATTTTACTCTCTCTGTGTCACTGGAAACTGAGAAAATAACTGGCAGAGTGATTGGAATTCCTTCAGGTTCCATTGCATGGCGCTAGTGTAGTTATTTAGTATATCCTATATACACATTACAATTTCTATAAGACAACCTATGTACTGAACATCCCGGGTGTGCATGGAATGTGACATGTGTTTCTTTGGGTTTTTTTTTTGTTTTTGTTTTTAATCCCAACCTCTAAATCATGTATACCTGGAGTATGCCCAGTTGGATTTACACTGATCGGCCACAACATTAAAACCAGTTGTCTAATATCATGTAGGTCCTCCTTATGCTGCCAAAACAGCTCTGATGTGTGGAGGCGTGACTGCCACCAGATTTTTGAACTTGTCCTGTGGTATCTGTCACCAAGACATTAGTGGCAGATCCTTTAAGACCTGCAAATTGCAAGGCGGTGCCTCCGTGGCCTGGAGTTGTTCTAGCACAGCTCACAAATAACCAATCTGATTGAGATCTGGTGAATTTGTAAGCCAAGGCAACACATTGAACTCTTTCTCATGTTCCTCAAACCATTCCAGAAAATGTTTTCACTGTGGCAGGGTGCACTATCCTGCTGAAAGAGGCCACTGCCATCAGAGAACTCCATTGCTATTAAATAGTGTAAGTGAAGAAAAAAAAAATGGTGTAAGTGGTCTGCAACAACCGCTACTTAAGTGGTATGTGTCAAAGTAACAACCCAAGCTTGCCCAAGGGTACATTCATCAGAGCATAACTGCCTCTGCCAGCCTGCCCTTTTCCCCATAATGCACGTTGCTTATATTTGTTTCCCCCAAGGTAAAAAATGCACATGCACCAGCCATCCATTTGATCTAAAAGAAAAACGTGATTCATCACAACAGACAACCTTCTAACATTGCTCTTAGGTCCAAATATGACTCCCGTCGCCGTTGAAGGTGTTTTTGGTGGTGGACAGTTGCCCTAATGGGCACTCTACTGTCTGTGGCTGCAGCAAAAATGCAATGCAGAACACTGTTCTCTGACTTCTTTCCATCATGGCTAGCATTAAGTTTTTAAGCAGTTTGAGCTACAGTAGCTGTTCTGTGTATTTGGACCAGACAGACCTTTGCTCTCCCGTCCATCAGTGAGCCTTGGGTGCCCATGAGCATAATGTTGTTCTTCCTTGCACCACTTTTGATATCTACAAACCACTGCATACCATGAACAACTCAAGACTTGCTGTTTTGGAGATGCTCTCGTCAAGTCCTCTAGCTACCCCTTCACTCAGTGTATATAAATATTTTTTGAGCAGTTTAACACTAACTAATAGTCCCCTGTCCCCCACAGTCTGCCCCCATCCTCCCTCGCAGAAGGTATGGATAGCCATACCAATTCATACCAGCAAAGTCCAATGTAATATGCTGAAAGCCATCAGCTGACACACTCGGTCAATCCAGAAGCAAGACTGGATTGGCTGTGGGCATTCCAGACACTATAACAACTTCAATGAGATGAATCAACCTTTTAATCTATCCTCTCTGCCCCTGCCCTTTCCTTTACTTCCTTTGAAGTTCACACTGTCTGCCTTTTTAAGCACACTCCTTTAAGAATTGCCGTCATCTATCTCCACTCTCCGCAGTCATCCTAGACTTTTCATTGAACACTTTTCTTCCTGGCTAGCCCACTTTCTCTCCTCTAGCACTCCCTCCCTCATACTTGTGGACATTAACATCCCAACCAACAACCTCAACTGCCCTGATGCCTCCTGTCTGCTCTCTGTAACCTTCTCCTTTTGGCCTCACGCAGTTTTCTACATTAGCAACTCATACAGCAGGAAACACTCTTGACCTCATCTCCACCAATCTCTGTATCACCTCTAATCTCTCCACTGTTCCATTTCCTTTGTCTGACCACCATCTGCTTAGATTTTTTTCATCAGCATACCCCGTACCCAAATTTCATCACCCTTAACGCTCTAATCTCGCAGAAATCTCAACTGCCTTGATCTCCAGCATCTCTCCACCAAACACAAAACCCATCTCAAATCTAACTTGCCCAAACTCTGCTACCTCACTCTACAACTCAACTTTCTCCTTTCAACTCCACATCATGGCACCTCCTACAATTAAACACAGCATGCGCCCCCAATTACAACCCTGGCACACCAAGCTGACCCGTCACCTCCAAAAATGTTCCAGAACTGCTGAACGCTGCTGGAGAAAGTCTCACTTCCTCCACTATAAATTTATGCTGAGCTCCTAGAGCCGGGCTCTTTCTTCTGCAAAAGTAAATTACTTTAACACCCTCATCAGTACACTGTCCCACCAACCCAAACACCTATTTCACACTTTTGATGCTCTTCTTCGCCCCTTTACTCCCCCTCCTTCTACCACCTTGTCTGCCACAAACTTTGCATCTCACTTCACTGAGATCTCTAATTTCTCTTCTCCTATGAATACATCACCCAACCCCACTCCCTCCACCATTCTACACTAATTCGCACCTGCTACAGCAGAAGAGGTTTCTGCTCTGCTCCCGTCCTCCTGCCCCACCACCTGTTCCCTCAATCCTATTCCCTTGTATCTCATCCACACTTTGTCTCCCTCTCTTTCTCTTCCTCTCACTAGAATTTTCAATCTCTCCCTTTCCTCTGGCACATTTCCTTCACCCTTCAAACATGCAGCTGTAACCCCGATTCTGAAAAAGCCCCCAACTTCCCATCCTACTACCGCCCTATCTCGCTACTGCCATTTGCCTCCAAGATTCTCGGGACAGTTGTGTACACCAGACTGACTGACTTTCTCGAATCCAACTCTCTGCTTGACCCCCTTCAGTCTGGATTCCGCGCTGGTCATTCTGTCGAAACGGCTGTGACCAAGGTATCCAACGATTTAATTCCTGCTAAATCTCGTTGCCATTACTCTATCCTATCCTCCTTTATCTTTTTGCTGCCTTTGACACTGTTGAACATCAACAGCTTCTTTGCATTCTCTGTAATTTTGGTCTATGGGATACTATTGTCCTCTGGTGCTCCTTCTACCTCTCCCAGCGCTCTTTCAGTGTTTCTTTCTCTGCCTCCTCCCAACTACTTTCTGTCGGTGTCCCCCAAGGTTCTGTCCTTAGTCCCATACTGTTCTCTATTTATACTGCCTCGTTTGGTAAACTCTTCAGCTCCTTTGGCTTCTGTTATCATTTCTATGTGGATGACACATAAATCTACCTGTCCTCTCCTTATCGCTCTCCGCCCATCTTGACTCGTGCCTCTCTGCGATTTCCAACTGGATGGCTGCTCACTTCCTTAAAACACTTGCACCACTGCAATCTATGAATGCGGCAGCGAGGCTCATTTTCCTGTCCACTCGTGCCTCCCCGCTCTGTCAGTCCCTGCATTGGCTTCCAGTTGGATATAGGGCTCAATTTTAAATTCTGGTGTTTGCTTTCAAGTCCCTACATAATGCTGCTGTAACCTACCTATCCTCCCTAATACACAAGTATGTCCCGTAGAGGCCCCTGCACCCTGCCAAAGACCTATGTCAATCCTCTGTCCATACTCCCACCTCTGATGCTCGTATCCAAGACTTCTCCAGGGCTGCACCTCTTCTGTCGAACTCACTTCCCTTCTCTTAGACTTTCACTTAGTCTTCACTCCTTAAAAAAAAATCTTTGAAAATTTAAACTGTTAGCAGGTTTTTATCCCCCACCCCCCATGACTCCTCTCCTGCAACTGCCAAAAAACCTACTCAGTCCCCAGTGAATACTTTTCTAACAACCTATTTTGTACCCCTATTTTTACCCTTTGTGTCACTATACCCCATTCCCTCTAGCATGTAAGCTCATTGAGCAGGGCCTTCCACCCCCTCTGTTCCTGTACGTCCAGTTGTCTGGTTACAATTACATGTCTGTTAGTCCACCCATTGTACAGTGCTACGGAATCTGATGGCGCAATATAAATAATAATAATTTGGCTCCTGTCAAAGTCACTCAGCCCTTTTTTCCTGCTTCCAACACAAGAAATTCAAGGACTGGTTACCTGCTCTCTAATATAAATCACCCCTTGACAGGTGACATTGTAATGATCTAATCAGTTATTAACTTCACCTGTCAGTGGTTTTAATGTTGTGGCTGATCATTAATTACATTAGGGAGCTATTAACAGTCAACCAGGTTGAGAGGTAGCCATATGTCTTGATGTCTGTAGCTGCAAATGATCCTTGGAGTATGTAACATCTACCTCCACACACAGCATTGAGTATACAGGCTGTATAAAAGGTAGGCAATAGATATAGAGCTCAGAAACCATATAGAAAAGGGTTTTTTTTGTGTTTATTTGAATATTCAAACCTAAAAATATTCATACTGACATAACTTGAATGTAGAATTAAAGGTTTGTTAATGTGACAACTGTTTGTATTAATTGGGATCAGGCACAATGCCATAAAGTAAAGGAACACAAACAATAGGAATTATAACATTAGGAATACAAAACTGTTACAGTACGCCCCAGCCCTTACTTTAGGGACCACGCAAGGATTAAAAAACACTTTTTTCCCCTTAAAGGACCACTATAGGCACCCAGACCACTTCAGCTCAATGAAGTGGTCTGGGTGCCAGGTCCAGATAGGTGAAACTGCTATGTTTAAAATAGGGTTAATCCAGCATCTAGTGGCTCTCTCATTGACAGCCGCTAGAGGTGCTTCTGGGTTTCTCACTGTGATTTTTCACAGTGAGAAGACGCCAGCATCCATAGGAAAGCATTGAGAATACTTTCCTATGGACTGACGGAATGCGCGTGGCTCTTGCCGCTCATGCGCATTCGGTCGAAGAGGAAGGAGAGTCCCCAGCGCAGAGGGAGCCTGGCGCTGGAGAAAGGTATGGGATTAACCCCTTCCTCCCCCTAGAGCACGGCGGGAGGGGGGCCATGAGGGTGGAGGGAACCTAAAGACCATATAGTGCCAGGAAAACAAGTTTGTTTTCCTGGCACTATAGTGGTCCTTTAACAGTACTGAAGTCCCTTGGCGCTGGATCAGGCGCCTCCTCACGCGATGTCAGACCAATTGAGGACCTTTTGTGCATCCAGTACACCTTCCCCAGAGGAAAACATTGAATAAATACTTTCCTATGTGGATTTTGTATAAATAATAATAATTAAAAAAAAACCTGGGGATGTCCAATGTCGTTTCATGGAGTTAAACTGTGAGAATCCAGGAAGTGCCTCTAGTGGCTGTCTTAACCCTGCAATGTTTTAACTTGCAGGATTAATGTCCAAACGGGCTAGCCTTTGCTCCTCACGACAGAGGCACTTCTGGGTGCTTATAGTGTTTCTTTATATTTTTGCCTGCCTTTTGCACTTTACATGCATTCCCATATGGTGGTTTTGTATCCACAATTATTGAAACAATGTACATCTTCTATGCTGTCAAACCAAATTACACAGCTTCTTCCTTGCTGTATATCACTGTCAAATGTTTCAGCAGAGGTAAAGTTCCATTCCATAATGTGGGACAGTGCCTGCATTCTCTGAAACTAATAATAATTACACTGGTTTGCCTTCTGATCGATGAAACTTGATTGTGACTGTTCTGATTTCAGAGATTATTTTTGTTATTTTTCATTCAATCAACAATTTATGGCAATTAGAACATATTTCTCAGGAGTTCTGCCTTGTTGCATGTAAGACTGAAACTTTTAGTCGTTTGTGTTCATGGCTACCTTGCCGTACAAATCGTTTCTCCGGTGACTCTGCACTGGCATATCCCTGCGGACGCGGCTGAGAAAGGGCAGGTTGATCTCGGCATAGCACAGTCCTATCCCGTCCTGACACTGTGCAATGACTGAGCCCCATGGATCTACAACCATAGCGTGGCCGTACGAAGATCTCTTCTGATTGTGACTACCGGTTTGTGCTGCTGCCACAACATAGCACTGATTTTCGATAGCACGGGCTCTTAATAAGACCTTAAATTAGAAAATAAATATCTCAGTTAAGCCATAAGTGAAGCCACATATATATATATTTATATATATATATATATATATATATATATAATGCATTGTTTATCCCAACTTAATGTACTCTATTAATAAGAGGTGATTGAGTAAAAGGCTGGTGGGCTGCATTAAAGGCAGTATTGTTGTATAAGTTGTCATAGGCTGACAGTTACAATATTGCTTTTTTTTTTTAATTAAAAAAACCTTGCTCTGTGGTGAGGACCAATTAAAAACCTTGCTCTGTGGTGAGGACCAATTAAAAACCTTGCTCTGTGGTCCCTGCTCTCTCTCCCAGTACACTGCCAGCAGCCATGTTTTGGGTGGATAGAAGTGATTTACGTGGAGGTTAAATGGCAAGGTGAAACTTAAACTCCCTACTCTGCAGTCTATTTCAGAGATGGTGGTTAGCGGCAGAGATTTGTGCATAGGGAACAATGTAGTTGAAGTTCTGTCAGCTCAACATCCACTGTTATACCCACCCAGCTAGCATTTAGCAGTGCACAAGCTGACTAAAGTATTTAAACACAAAAGCATAACGCTTGTTATAAATCAGACATTTGTGTCCTTTCTAATTTGGTCAGTGTTGTTGTATAACAATATACAAAGAGGTACCATGTGAACAGCTTTCTCCCTGTGATCAATATATTCTGTGAACTAACATAGACTAAAAGTGGGCAGCATTCCAGCAGAATAGAACAATGAGAAATAATGTTATTATGGGCTGGGCATCATTAGAAAAGGCACAATTGTGTATCAACACCCCCCCCAAAGGTACTGGACCAAGTGCATTATGGGATATAGGTACCTGCATATAAATCTACTCAAACCCTGGTGTTTGACACACTGCTGGCTCAACATTTGGGCTTTAAATGAAGAGACTGACCTCCCAGTGGGCAATCCCAGTAGTAACGGTGAAGGCCGAAGGGTAGGTCAAGAGTTCTGCTCCTTCCTGGATCAGCGCCAGGGCCATTTCTGGGAAGCGTAAATCATAGCACACACCAAGACCAACCTGAAGGGAAGTAACTACTTTAAAACGAGATCGTAAATATTGACAAGGCAAAATAATAATTTACATATGTTTGCAAATATGACAATCAGGGTTATATTCACTAAAGTGAGAATTGTTTGGAATTCAAAGTGAATTTTAAATTTAAGTCTAAAATAGACAAAATGGAGATATTCTCCAAGTCAGCCATGCTTCTATTTCGGGTACTTTAGTCATAACTTTGAAATAAATTTTTGTTATTTATACAGCCAAATCGCACATTTCAACATATCCCATTTTGGCAATAAAGATATTACAACTGGCACAATATTTAATTGTAGAATGGTTTAGGAGTGGCAACCCGTAGCTAGCTTTTTTAAAACATAACATCAGAATGTAAAAATACCATCTGGATAAGTGTATAACGCTTACATTGATAAACAGAAAAACAACAAATATATGTCCAACACCTGACACTGCACGCTGCTATTGCAACCTGCAAAAAAAGTCTGTAGTGTGAACAAGAATGCTTAAAGCTGTTCCTGCTCCTCAGCTGCTAAACTTCAGCTAGAATGGTGAACTTACAAAAAAACACTGTATAGTGTGGGAGAAGGGAAGTTGACTGGCATTTATGATCCAGTACAGAATGGTATCCTGACATAGAAATTAATTTCTCTGTTGGGTGAAAAACACCACTGGAGCAAAGGGAAAGGTGATTTCGGCTTTACGGAAAAAGTCTTTGTTTTTCATTGTTTTGCAATGCAAAGAAAATTAACACAAGTATGCATGTTGTTGGGATTGAAGGGGTTAATAATATTATGTATATAATAGAATTATCTGATTTTCTCTCCTCACCTTGCCAGCAGGCGTGTTAATTGGTGGAATGAGGTCTGGTCCAGGAATTGTAAATTTGCTTTCTTTCAACGACACCCCACTATGCAAATCTACATCAAAGAGGTGGGTTTTGCGATAAATGGATACAATGTGACCTGTATGAACACACCCAATGGAATAAGGAATAATAAAAAAATATTAAAGTGGAACTATCACTTCCCAGGAATATTCATATCGATTTCACTAATTCTCTCTGTTTGACAAATATGTGTGTGTGAACTTTGAAAATAACATTTAATGTAGAAATCTACAGAGCTGTACTTAAATCTATCCCGGAACTAAGTGGCACCATCTTAGCTCCCTGTCAATCATTATTAGAAGCTCTGCCCTTTTGTGGTCATTAAGCACAATACGTGGAAAAATGGAAACAAAATGTTGATATTTCTTCTCCTCCAAAGCAATGTGTGCCCTGTGTGTGCCTCGACTGAACAGGATTGGGTTTTAATTTTTTTTAATCTTTAAAAGAACACTTTAGGGTCAGGAACATAAACATGTATTCTTGTAGATTACAGCAATGTTAACATTTTGGGGCTAAATACACCACTCTAGTGGCTGTCTTCTCTACAGCCACTAGATGGTGCTTTCGTACCCACAACTGAATCAGACTCAGTTCTTTGTTGTTTGATGTCTGCACACATTGCATGAGTTTGTAGAACGTCCTCTGATGCTTCTCATTGGATTTAATACTTCTCTATTAAAAGCATTAGATTGGAAGAGGTTGCAGTGCTTGCTCTTCATGTCCACAATGCTTATCTGTAAGAATCATTGGATTATACGAGAAGCAGAAGAGGAGAGAAAAAAAAATGGGAGGTGAAGCGGGCGCTTACATGGACTGAGTCTCACTGCTGGAGACAAGGCAAGTAAAGGCTTATGTAGTCAATATTTTTAAACTTAAAGCAGGTGGAGTTAAGGTTGCAGACCCTAAACAAATTAAAACAATTGAACAAGTAGTGTCCCTTTAATTATCTTTTGGTTTATACATTTATTAGCAATAGATCAGTCTATGGTGACAGGGCAATTAAAAAATATATATATAGATCTTTATAGATTTCTAATTTTAAAAATGAATTAAGACAATGGGACGTTTATTCAAATGATTAAATTATCATCTACAACCATTATGAGCGTTACCGTTGCTTTTCCCTGTATCAGAATACTTCACTCTGTATGGAACATAAATTGTTATGACACATCTTGAATAGACGTAAAAGCAAATACTAGTCTTGATCAGCAATTAACACTCTCGTACAATACCGAAGTTTGAATTTTGCTTTATTTTGTTTTATGAGCAAAGAAAAAGTGTTGTTGAATAATCACCTGGCAAGCGCAGAGCATGGTGAGTTTACCTGTATTATCCAGGACCACGTGAGAGTTAAATATCCTGCGATCAGTTTCCCAGTTGGGTCCTTTCTCATGAAACCCTCCCAAAGAAAGCCAGACACTGCATCTCCTAACACATGACAAACAAACAAAAAACAACCAAATTATAAGAGTAAAGATTTCAATGTTCAACATTCGTGAAAGATGAAGGTTGCCCTCACATACAGTATGGGTCAAGACTAGTGACGTTACATATCTACAAAGTGTCCCTGTTGAGGGTACAAATCCCTATGTCCTATTCTAGGAGCTTCATATTGCTGGTGAGTCTGAGTGTATAACAGAGCTCTGCAGCAATAATACTTACTGTAATGTGTTTAAAAATTAGTCTGTGAAAATAACAAACCTTGTTTTTGTTCTAAATTACATTCTAGTTGCCTAAATTGTTATTAGAAAATCACCTATAATTTCTTAAAAACAGTCCCATGCCACATTCCCAGGAACACCCCTAGAATTAAAGTGTCCCTCTTCATCATTAGAAATGTTGGGAGATATGAAATTGTAAACAGAGATTTTTTTTGATTTTTTTTTTAATAACGTCTCCCCACTAAGTGGTGAGTGCTGTGTATAATTACCAGATTTTACTGTGCCCATGAGAGGTGTTGTCTCAGCAGTTAGGTGTCATGTGCCATGATCAGCATATCATCCAGATATATGATCATCCGTACACCCCCGCTGCGTAGGAGGGCTACCACTGGCTTCAGCAGTTTAGTGAAGCACCACGGTGCTGATGAGACTTCAAAGGGAAGGCATTGGAACCTCCACGTTGTCCCTTCCCATTGGAATTGGAGAAGGTTCTGGCAATGGGGGTTGTAAAGTAGGCGTCTTGGAGGTCTAGCTTGACCATCCAGTCCTCCAATCTGAGGAGGTCCCGAAGGCAATGGATTTCCTCCATTTTGAAGTGGTGGTATCGCATGAATGCATTTAGGGGGAGTAGGTTGATGACTGGCCTCAGGTTGGGTCACGTCAGGGTTACGGTTAGACGCCGGATGGAGTGGGATATAGTGTCTGATATTGTCCCCATAGCGGAGTAAATAGCCTGGGTGACCAATCTGGTCATGGTAGTGTCCAAGAGGGAATGGAGTTCCTCTGAGTTAAGTTGCTCCATGGGGGTAATACCATACCCTTGGATGAATTGGGGTCCAGGCTCCGCAATTAAAGGGTGCCTGGAGGCACTCCCTGCTTGAGTGGGGCAATGCTAGGGTTATCTTTAGGGGTCTGCATATTAAAGCAGGAGCTAGTTAAGCAGGTTATAGGACAAATAGACCAAATAACAGTGGGCAGAGTTTTGGCTGTCAAGACTTAACAGTCTAAAATCATACAAGGTAGTGACAGGCAAAATAAACTGCAGGCAAGGCACAGAACAAAATACTGAGCTGTCAGCTTACCGAGTGTTCACTCAGGAATGTGCACTGGTGCACTGGTAGGCTGATAGGCAGCCTTCCTGTCCAATCAGCTCGCGCCCGCCACTGAGTGGGCTGCGCGAGCCAGTAGAAAAGCGCGTCAAAGTTTTGCCACTCACAGTATGGCTGTCACGATGCGCAGCCGCGGCTGCGCATGCGCGAGTGGCACCGACCGCGGACCGGGCCCAGCGTGAACTGACAGTTCCCAAGAGGGTGCCCCACGTCTGGCAATCGACCGCCGCGATCCGTGCAAGCAAATGGGTAATAAACTACTCTGAATACGAGGGGGGAGAAGGGATTAGCCGTCCTGGCGGGCGGGACAACTCGGGAGGCGCGGCAATCAGCAGCCGTTCCCCCTGAAGGGGGGTAGCACAGTAAGAGGAAATAGTACTCCAAACAGAGACAGAGTGATTAACAAGCATAATTAAACAGACATGCAGATAAATATACAAAACAGTAAATCATGTCTGAGTGATAAAATGGTGGCACTTAGCTGAGGCAGCAGCAAAGAAAGAGGAAGAGATGGGGGTCACGTGGGACTATATGATATGTGGACTGTTCCTATTGGATAGGATATGTGATGTAATGGTTAACCCTGTGAGGATACTTTGTTTCATTTTTTTCTATATTATAAATACCTTAGCTTTCTTTGCTGCTGAGGAATAAAAGAAATAGATATACCTAATAAGAGCCTCCGTGTCCTTTAATAAAATCTGTGATACTATGGATTAATGTAGCAAGTCAAACTATACACACTGAAAGAAACAGTAACACTCAAGAGATCGAGAACAGTAACAGATTTTTGAAGACGGTTTTATGAATTAAAAACTGATAAAAAGATTTTAAAATCATCAAAACCAGGTGTATGCAGACAATTATAAACAGCCATACACACCTGGCAAGGCTCATGTACCGCTGAATAGTGTCCCCCTTCAATGTCTCAGCAAGACTTAGGGTCTCCTCGGTGCTGCCACCAATATAGTCAAAGGCCTCAGGGAGAAACACCATGCTTGCCTTTCGAGAGGCTGCTTCCTGGATCAGTCCTGAACATATAGTGAAATTCTTCTCTTTATCAGACGTTGAGGTCATCTGGCAAACGGCTATCAAAGGCTTGAGAGCATCCATTGTGGTGGACATAACTCTAATCCTTCAAAATCACATTGCAAAACACAGTTTAGAGTTAATAGATGGCTGCAATTTGTGGATTTTTAGATGTCAATGAACTACAACATGCATGTTTTTGTTTGCTGAGGATCATCAAAGGATAAAATTATATGAAATGTAGCAGTGTTCTAGATCACCACCTTCTGACTTCTCAGTTTTTTCTGTCTCTCTGATGTTTACAATCAAAGCTGAGTATCAGTTAGCCATTGTGCCCTTGTTGCATTGTCTGCAATTGGACCGGCCATAATAACATACATACAGGCACTTCTCACTTTCCAACTGGGTTCCATTCTTACGACTCGGTTGGTAAGTGAGGATGTGCTACGGAACATGCGCACCAGTGTAGGTCTATGTTCGGGGGAGATTTCCCTGAACATAGACAAGTGCAGCAGATCAGGGAATCCCTTAAATCTATGTTCGGGGAACATTCCCTTGAATTCCCATGCTAGAGAGCTGGTTGTAAGTGTGAGCTGTCGTAAAACAGGTAGGTCATTAAGTGAGGACCACATGTACCAAAAATTAGAAATGGCCTAAACTTCCATTTTAGGTGGTGTGGGGTTATTGTGAGATATTTAAGGTGAATTACATGGTTGATAACCATTTATATATGTCATGTACAGGCCAAATCATCTTATATACAAAGAAAGATTTCTTATGGGTGTACTCTAGGTACTATATCTAGTTCATCTACTTTAAATGGTTATAGTGGGCTGCAGTGGTTATGGTGCTTGGCGTGTTCCTTTCAAACACGGAGGAATAATCGCTTTTAGCGGAAAACTGTTTTTTAAAGCAATGGGTTGGGACAGACTAGCTTAGCTGACGCCTCTAAGCCAATCGGCGGCGGCCCTGTCCTGCGGCACTCCGCACTTTCTATAACTCAGATTCAGAAGCCGGATGAGGCGACGTGGACTTGGGGAGCGGCGCTGGTGGCAAATGTTTAAAGACTGGTTTAGCCCCTGAAGGTAAGAGTGTGCCTCGTGGCACCATAACAACTTTAATTACATGAAGTTGTTATGGTGACTGGGGTGTCCCTTTAAATTCTTGGCAACTTTAATAAATGACCCTGAGTGACTCACTGTCTGTGTCTGGGGGGATACTGATTACCCCCTCCCCCTTCTCTCCTTGAGTGAAGGGTTCATTTGCCCGTGACGTCACTCACCCGCGCCGGGGGAGGAGGAGGATGCCGACTCGCGCTCTCAGCAACCCGCTCACCGCCATCCGAGCCGCCCTGCCCTCAGTAAAGATGGCGGCGGGGAGACCCGACCGGAAGTTACGTAGGAGGAGGATGAGTTCCGCTGCGCAGAGCTGGTGCGCGGTGCGACGACAGCGTGATGGCTTCAGCAGCGGCGAAACAGATTGCCGCCGAGCAGGTAAACCGGTGTTCTATCAGAAAGACATACCTCGTAAAAAAGACATACGAGTACTTAGTCATTATATAGCGATATACCCGCCCGACCCGGCCCCCCACAACCTGTCCGACCCGGCCCGCCACCGCCTGACACAACCTGTCCGACCCGGCCCCCCACCGCCCGATACAACCTGTCCGACCCGGCCCCCCACCGCCCGACACAACCTGTCCGACCCGGCCACCTCACCGCCCGACACAACCTGTCCGACCCGGCCCCTCACCGCCCGACACAACCTGTCCGACCCGGCCCCTCACCGCCCGACACAACCTGTCCGACCCGGCCCCCCACCGCCTGACACAACCTGTCCGTCCCGGCCCCTCACCGCCCGACACAACCTGTCCGACCCGGGCCCCCACCGCCCGACACAACCTGTCCGACCCGGCCCGCCACCGCCCGACACAACCTGTCCGACCCGGCCCGCCACCGCCCGACACAACCTGTCCGACCCGGCCCGGAGCAACCTGTTCAGCCCGGCCCCGCGCAACCTGTCCGACACGGGACGGCCCCTCATCCTGAAACAACATGGGACCTCACAGTCAGGGATAGCAAGCCCGTCCAGAGACAACATACATTATATGTTCAGTCAGCCAGGGATTAACATTTTGTCTTGACACTAAATTGCTCCATGCAGGTTCATTCATCCATGGATAGCATGCCTGCTCCGACACTAAATGGTTTCAGGTTCATTCAGCCAGGGCTATGGACACTACATGACTCCACACAGGCATAGTGAGGTTGCCTCAACACTAAATGGCACTGCAATGGTACAGTCAGTCAAGGACAGATTACCCACTGATTGCAAAATTATTTATTTTTAATTTGCAGGTGGTGGCCGGATTTAACAGACTAAGGCAAGAACAGAGAGGCTTGGCATCCAAGGCAGCAGAGCTAGAAATGGAACTGAATGAGCATACGTGAGTGAACTCTTCCAGTATACTGTGTGGTTAAACAATGTACGGTGGGAAAATTCACTCAATGACCCCTTTCTAATTATGCTATACAGTAGAATTGAAGTACTGATGTGCCCTTTCCAGTAACCCTTACCTCTCTCCAAAGGTTAAAATACTAGATTATCTATCTAAAACAAAGTGTTGATGTTTGTATTCTTCATGTAGATTGGTTATTGATACCCTGAAAGACGTGGATCAGAGCAGGAAGTGCTATCGATTGGTTGGGGGTGTTTTGGTGGAGCGCACAGTGAAAGAAGTCTTGCCAGCCTTGCAAAACAACAAAGAGCAGGTAATCCATTTTGATTTCTTACCAAATGGAAAAGTGCATGCTACACTAGTCATGTTAATTAGCATTTTATTAAACAAAAACTTATTGTGGTCATACAAGAGGAAGCGGATTGCAATAGTGTGTTAGGTACATCACTCAATGAAACATAAGTTGCTACAGATTGATTTGATGGTCTCTGCTTGTTTGGACATTACAATCTAGGTGTGGACATGAAGAGCGTGCAGGACAGGATGATTGAAAAACAAGCAATATGAAACCATGGTTATGTGTGTGCAACTGAATAGACTAGGAGAGATTGAAACTAGAAGTTAGGATGAGATTGATAAAGTCAGATATGGAATGATACTTCCTGGTGTTTTACATTAAAATCAGTTTGATTTTGGCTTGTAGGACCTTGTGTGATCCTTTATTTTTTTTTTATATATAATTTTTTTTTATCAGATTTTGTTTTACCTGTCTCAGTTGCCTTTTGTTTTCTGTGTTTATGTACAATGAATGATACTATGAGGCCATATAAGAGATGAGCTCTGTCATTAATCCAAGTCCTGTGTATAATTGTATGGTTATTCCTGCCACGTTGCTAGTTTTGAAAGGTACAGAGCAAGATATCTTCTTGTCTGCTTTTGCATCCATTGAAGAGCTAATGTGTCAATTTTTAACAATGTTGCAGATTAACAAAATCATTGAGACACTAAGTGCACAGCTGCAGGCAAAGGGGAGAGAGCTGAACGAATTCCGAGAGAAGCACAACATACGCATCATGGGGGAAGACGAGGCCAAGCAGCCCCCCAAGGATAACGGGGATGGCTCTGGGGCCAAACAAAGTTCTGCGGGTGTCTTGGTATCTTAAAGGGCCAAGAACCCACACAACCTTGCACTGATACATGTCCTCAAAGCCGGAGCAGATCTTTTTTCTTTGGTTTGTTTATGAACGTTGAACTTGCCATTTGAGTTTGGTTACTGTGTCACAGCATGTTCTCCCAACTAGTTTCATCAGTGGCTTGTCTGTACCATAGCAATAGCCAATACTTCACACCGATACGCTGTAATATTCCAGTCCGTAGTGACTGCAAGCTGGACAGTTTTTTTTTTAAGGCTATCGCAGACATAAAGTGCATGTGACGTAACCTTCCCTTAGTTCACAGTCATTGTCTCACTTGAGATTGTCTTGCATACTGTTTTTTTTTATATCTCCCAGATTTCAAGAATTTGAATTTAGAACCATCTTCACATACATCCATCACCTGTCCCATAACATTTTGAGCTTCTCCCCCCATTTAATATTTTTGATCTTGTTAAATAAACTTATTGTTTTCTCTCCCATATTTGGAGGTCTTAATCCAGATAGAGAGCAAATTTGCTTGGTTTGTCTGCTGCATGTTGCACGGATGTGACATTTAAAGGTGGTTGTCAGGATAGGCCTTGTATACTTTTTCACCAATCTTATGGAGTATTCACTCTTTTATGTGTTCTCTGTAGGCATGATGCAGGTTTTGATAACATTAGCAAAACTTGTTAGGTTCAGTAAACATATTAATACAAAGTGCAAATACATGACATTTGTCATTTCTGGCACTTTGCTGTGGGCAAGTGACTAAGGGTCTACACGTAAACATTTCTGAGTGCAGTCTGGCGAGTTTGTGCGTGTTTTTAAATGTTAGGGTAAACAAATACTATAATGTATAAATATGCAATCTTTAATTTGTTACACAGAGGACATATTTTTTTCTCAAAAGTTAAGAAACTTTTACATCAGAACAATCTCTTCAATGTCTCTCTTGTTCTGAAATAAGAGACACGGAGAACAGGCTGTAGTTATTTCTGAATAGGTTTTCTAATACGTCTGTAATACATATTTATATACAATTTAATTGAAATTATATCTTTGCATAAGGTTGGTGTCCAACACTATTAGTCAGCTGTAAAAGTTACTTGCCACGGGAAACCTTCTGTAATGTGACGGCTGGAAATGGACAGCCACCCTTTGTAGAAGCTTCATCTATGCGCTTCACCTTCTCAATTGTACGTCATCTTGCAGTCCCTGTGCACTCAGGATCAATAAGAAAGGTGGGTGGGAGAATAGAAATTAGATGGGGTGGGGCTTAAGCCAGGTTGCATTTCAATTCTGAAAGCATGCATCTACTTATTTCACTGTTGTAACCTCACTTGTGAAGAATACAGTTCAGCCATGGAGCCACTTTCACAAAATGCTGATTTCAAACAGCACAAAGGATCCTCACAGGTAAAGGGGTTTCGTGACTCACCTGGCAGGGCAAAATTTTCATTAGACAATGAATGAACAATGGGACAGTGGAATTCTTTAACCTCGCTATCAACGTATGCCTCACATCAGTACTTGGATTTCGTAGAACAGTCCTGAGTTTAGGCCCCCTGTCATGTTGTTTTTTTTTTTTTTTCCCATTAATCCTTACACTTGAGAACGGTCTGATCTAACTTGGGCAATAACTATTAAAAGTGTTTCAGTACACTACTTTATAAGAGGAATACGATCATAAAATTAACTCAGCAGGCCGTAAAAGTGCCTAAAAGCCTTGATACTGGAAATTTTACTTTTGGCAATCAGTGATTCTCAACACTCCAGATGGTGTCTCATGGACACAGATGCTCCCTATTATTTGAACAACCGTCCAAAACTGGAGAGGGGGCTTCCTTCTGACTGCCACTACACTCTACCGTGCCTAAAACAGGTGAATCTGAGCTGGGGAGGCTTAAGTGTCAGCCTACCTATGAATGCATATTAGCATAGATCTCTCTTATTTTAGAGATAACATAGCTTGGAGTTTTAGTCTTATTACATCAGTGGAACATTTTGTGCACTCCCATGACACCAGATTGGCCATGATGGAGCAGAAATTCAATGAGCTTCAACCATGTCCAACAAATGATTACAATATTCACATACCCATAGCTGTATATCAGGCACCTGTCCTGGTACTTCCTGGTTGTTTAGCTCAGTGGACCCAAACACAACAGTCATGCAAGACTTCTCATTGAGCTGCATTACGACATCTGATTATGCAATCCATATTTCCTGTCCTCTTCCCTGCTGTAGATCCTTGTGGTCCATGTTATGTCCATAGTTTCCCTCATTTTATGGTTATCAAATGCCACTGCAGCCATCCCAGATCTCTCCTGTTTCATTAAGATGGCACTGACTAACGAGTGCAAGACAAGCAGCTGAACATGCATTTATTCCTGGCTCCTCATTACTGACCTCTTATGATTTTGACACCTGATCTCCATTTTGTCACATGTAAAGGCTGGGCATATCGGCCCCATGTACTTTTATTTATTTTTTTTGGACGGTTGTTTACCTGTGGCCTGTGGTTTTTCTTCTTATTTGGATTCATGTGGACATTGTTCAGAACAGTATCCTGATTGTGACATTTGTGTTTATTTTCTGTGTGTATATCCATATTACTGTTGTTAGCTCTTGGTTTTCAATCCTTACCCACTACCACCAGTTTAAAAATGTATTTTTCATATGCTTACTATAGAGGTTAATTATCCACGGGGAGGGTTTACCTTAATGCGTAGAATTAATTTTAATGGCCAGAGACAGTTTTTTTTTTTTTTTTTGGGGGGGGGGGGGTTTGTCTGTTTTTACTTATATTCTTTTCTCTCCTTTTGGAGGAAATTCTGTTTTATTTATTTTTTAGGATGATTGCTTCCAAGAAAAACTAGTATTCATGGCATCAAGTAATCAACACAGATGAATCAAAGCAAGCACCACTACGGGCTATTGGATTGAGAAAGCATTCCTTTGGTGCTTCAATGCTAAAAGTAGAGAAGGGGTACTTAGGAGGGCTTCCCCATTGTGTTTCTTCATCCTCTTCCAATTCTTCTATATGGTTGTGTGTGCCTGTATATTATACACACACAGTTACATACAGTACTGAAAATGTCCACTACACATAACATTCCTGCAATAATGGAGAGGCACACATCCCAGTGCTACAAAAGCTGGGCCAAAGATAGACTTCAGATGTGGAACTACAGATACTTGGTCAAAGCTTCATGCCATCCCATGAGTAAGCCTTTGTTTAATAGATATTTTATTCTGACTCTATACTAAATGAATACCCCTTGACTCAATCCAAATTATAATTCACAGTTGCTTTACAAAAATAGGAAGTAGTGAAAAATAATTTCTTATTCTAAAATATCTAGCTGTGACTCACATTACACATTATAAGGTGGTAATTGTTTATTCTGTTTAACATTGTGAGTGAATCGAGGCATGGTTGGATGTGCCCGTCATTGGAGAAAGTCCAGTACACATATATCCGAGCACGGAGTCTTTCCGTCTGCACCAAATCCTCCCACCAAATAAAGACTGTCGTTAACCAGGCACGTTCTGTGACCAACTCTCTTAAGGCGATTATCGGACCCAGGAAAGTGAAACCAGGATGGAGGGGAGCAGCCTTCAAAGAGAGAGAGAAATTATACGTTTTTCACAGTGTTGTGTATTGCATCAGTACCCTTTCCTCTTCTCTAACTATACTTAAATATGCCAGTAGGTGGAGCTCTACCACCACAATAAACACCATATTGCAAAAAAAAAAAAAAAAAGGTAATCTAGCACAAACTTTCTACCTATTCCTCATCTGATCTGTCATGCAGTAACAGTAAGGCATCACCTGAGTAATCTTGTCTGTCTTTATAAACAGCAAGGCACAACCTGAATAATTACTTTCCCTTTTTAGTTTCTAAAGTGTAGTAATCCATAGGAAGTAAGATCATTTGAGTAGGGTTCTCTTTAACCTACTGTTCCTGTAAGGTTTTGTAATTGTCTAATTTATCGTTAAATCTCCCACTCTGATAATATTGTAAAGCGCTACAGAATATGCTGGCGCTATATAAATACCAGTAATAATTGTTTTTCTCTCACTGACCAATTAATAAATCTCTAATTTGCCTTGATCTAAAATAAAACTATTTGTGAAGACAACAACCAGATAAAATAAGAACACGCACGTGTGTCATAGATGAAGAGGTCATTGCAGATGGCATCTCGGCTTTTACTTAGACTTTCTCCTCCAAACACAACCAGGAAGGGGCCAATGAGGGAACACGAATGGTGCTTTAGACCTTTTGGTGCAGTTCGACTGATGCCATCTCTGTTAACAAGTCTTGCCAGCTGCTCTGTCAGTTTTGGACAATGGCCCGCTCTCACCTGTGACAGAATTAAGCAGGCTTGTTGAATTATGCATTAATCGTTTTCTCTGCTTTATTAAACAGACCTCCCCTAAGGTACCTATCTTTTGATGGAAAATGAGGAGTAATAGACCTTACTTGTCTCGTTATGGCAAAAGTTTACTGATTTGGGCTTTGGGATTGCCTAATGCATATTCCAGCCATTATCCCATTTCTTCAGTGTGTTAAGATTAGATTCACTGGGAAGCTGTTGCATGTGTCTACTATCTTTTTATATTGCTGTTAGCCTTTATTACATTACCTCACAAGGTGATTTCTGTATCACTTTTAGCTTTTACTACCTCCACGGCAAGGCTATTCCAGACAACTACTATTCTTCTATGTATGTGTTAACTTTATTAGAAAAATTATTCCAGGTATCTATACCCCGTTCTAAAGCACTGTTTGGTTTTCATAAATCAACTGGAGGGCTAATCAAAGTATCTGGTATTGCTCCTCTGTTGTGATCACCTTTTCCTGCTTCCACTGAAAGGCTATTCCATGTATCTAACATCCTTGCTATACCAGCAATAGCTTTTAAATGGTTAATCTAAACTTTTTTTTATGGTAAATATTGGGCACTAGTAGCTTGTTCACCCGTCCACCATCCTTTTTACACCTTTTTAATTAAAACAACAAAACCTGTAAAAGAGTAATAGACTTACCTTGAATCAAGAGCAGAGCAAGGTTCTTCCACTCACCGTCCGATGTCACACAATGCATTTTACCCTTTAGCGGTCCAATCAAATACTTCTCATAATCATATGATTTGGCCCGTCTCTAGGGTTAGAGTGGTCATGTAGGTTGGAGTAACCCTTTAAATGACCATTCCACACCCATTAAGTACTTCAACTTGCTGTACTTCATCAGTGAGAAGTATTCTATTTTGCTTCCAGTTTATAATATTATTGAATTCTATGAGAAATCACTTTTATAATTAAATTACGGAATACCTCACAGCCAGGGACGTTTTTTTTTTCCTTCCTCTGTTAGCTACTCTAAGCCAGTGGAAATGGCAGGCGCTCTTTTGTTGAACATGCCTGCCTCCTCCACCCGTGGTACTCACAGACCTCAGACCAGACACTCACGCACAGTTGGTGGCTTCTCAATGAGAAACGTCTTATTGGCTATTTACCTGTGAAAATACGGACAATCTCTTCCAGGGAAATAGGGGAGGGCTTGGAAATGCCCCTAGAACTGTAGCTTTTGCAAGCTCTTTCAATATATACCCCTAATGATAATATTATTTTGTGTGACGTGATCCTTTAACCTTTCCACTGGAAGGCTACTCAAGGTATCTACTACTCTTTCTTTATCACCTTTAGCTTTTGCTACTTAAACACTATACTGTTAACTACTACCCATTTCAGTAAAGTGTATGTTTTATTAAATCAGGAAAGAGGAAGGATTTCCTAAAATGTACACTTGCTACTTCGGTCTTCCACCCTCCAAATTGATATCATGCCCTTTTGCTCTATTCACTGTATCCTGTAATTACAAGACAGCTGATGAAACCTACCTGGATTTTGTCTTTGTTCCACTGACCAGCAAAGTCAACTGATGATGATTCTCTTCCACCAAAGACATAAAGGGAATACCCAGATGTTTTTGTAGAAGTGGTATCGCTTGGCAACAGGACTGCAGCATGACCTGACCGAGATGCTGTGCGGGATTCCTCTTCTTTATACCTGGAAAAGGTCAGACAGTTACTAGAGTATTAATACTTGAGATGCTGTTTGATTAGAATATATTAAAGACTACCCCTCCAACCTCCAAATCTAACAAATAACAATGTATATTTTAAGAGACTATTGGGCCCCACTACATCCCCCCCATAAGAATTTCCTCTAAATTAAGTTGTTCTGGGGGCTAGAGTCAATGGGCATGTTCTTACCTTGCAAGGTTAAATCATTTTTTAAGTTGTGTCCCTCCTGGCTGCCAGTTCACACTGGCTGTTATTTCTTATTCGTGGCCACTACATTGATCAGGAAGGATTGGCTTGATACGGGTGATCCTTATCTGACACTCAGCATATTACTAACTGCACATTATCATAGTACTAATAACACTTACCAGTATTTTTTGGTGCTGGTATTGACCCTAAGGGTGTATATGCTGGCGTAACGCCTCTGCATGCGTAGCCCTCCTTCTCTTCCAACCACCCGTAGCTCGTAGTCAGAGATCTTGGTACATGTGTGACTGCTGAGTCCTACTGGTGGGTTGTTTGTGGGGGCTTCCTCCCAAGGTTCCCACTCCTCTTTTTCTGTGTCATAGGGGAAAACGGAGGACACTCTTCGAGAGCCATCCCATCCTCCAACCACACACAGCCACCGGTCTCCTAGCTCTACCGCATCATGGTGGCTTCGTTTAAAGGCATCTTGATGAGTTGTACTCTGTACAATCATCTGCTCAGGATCAAATGCCACTACATCACCAAGTGGAACAGCTTTAGGGTCTCCAGACTTAACACCCCCAAAAATATATAGCTTTCCTCTTATCACTGTGCAGGTGTGGTAGCCACGGGCAAAAAGCTCATCTTGTGCCACAGGCTTCCACGTCCACAGAGAATGTGTAGATGTCATCTTGTGCCTGGTGCTGGAATGAAACCAGAAAATGTAGTGGTGAAAATGGTTATGGGAGACGTCCAGGTAATAGTAGAAGAGGAAATTATAGTAAGGCAATTCACAAGTCATTAAGATCACTTATGTAACCCATCTACATTTATTATTTTTTATAAATAATTACATTACCCACTCAATACTACTTGTACACAAAATGTTTGTTTGGCTTAAAGTCACAATACCTTTTATTGTTTTTAGAAAACAGCAAGAAAAATACTATAGACTGAGCACACTTTGAGGTTCAGATACATTTTAGCAATCATTGCACAAAGGGCATTTTCTTTTTATATATGTATTTCTATGACACAGAGAGTAAATGAATGAATTAGCACTAGTGCCTCATACCCCGAAGTTCTGCATTTTCACAGTAGATCTATCAACTGCACGGTGCACAAGACATAATGAAGATTATGGTGTGTGTCTTTACCCCTCCAATAATAATCCTTCCCTAATCTCACCTTGCCCACGTGGGTGTTTTGTTTGGTTTTTTTGCAAGTTGTGTCTACAGCTTAAATGTGAAGTAGAAGCAAAGGCTTACCTGATAAGAGATTGCACTTTAACTCTGCTTCCACGGCAACCTGCCTGGAGACCCACAAATTGCCTTAGCAACCGCCGAGACAGCCAGAAAGCAGTGCCACCTGCTGTAAATATGCTGAGTGTCTGCTACGCCTCACAGTGTCATTCATGCATTTCTGCTCGGTACACAAGCATTCCTGAGCTGTAACAAAAGGGAAATAGCCCTGTTCTGCAGACCATCTCATTTTACGCAGCACCATCTGATTTAGAATGCTGCGGAACAGAAAAGCCTTTTATTTCCCCCTACAAAAATTTTTTTTTTTTAAATCATCATTAATATCTACAGCAGTAAATAACATTATAATAAATTATATATTTTTTTAAAAAAAATGTAGTCCATTTTCTAAAAATGAATATGTAGTATAAATTGTTTTTATAAATAATGAGCAATGTTGTAACATGTCTTTTGTACAGTTTGTTATAATGCAAAATCTGAGATCTTTGGCTAGGCTCGTCATATTTTATAGTCTGATTTCTGTCTCAGTTGGTTTAAAACATTGCCTTTTCTGGAATTACATCTACCTTGAAAAGAAATTCCAAGTACCATAACTACTACAGTTTTTAAAGAGCTAGGAGAACATTAGTGAAGTCTCTCTGTTTTTTCTCAAAGTGTTTTGTTAAAAAAAAAAAAAAACATAGTCATAGGATTTCCCTGGCTCCCCATACACACCTCCTCTATTTGTGAAGTCACTTCCTTATTATATGTGTAAATTTTTTTACGGCACATGCATGCGCCGAATCCGCACGCCATGCAAGCGAGGGCTTTAGCACTGAGTTATAGGAGTATGTGGCTGCAAATTAATCATTGTCTAACGCTTTCACATTGACACAGGTAGCCTATACTAATTTAAAGAGACACTATAGTCACCTGAACAACTTTAGCTTAATGAAGCATTTTTGGTGTATAGAACATGGCCCTGCAGCCTCACTGCTCAATCCTGTGCCATTTAGGAGTTAAATCCCTTTGTTTATGAACCCTAGTCACACCTCCCTGCATGTGACTTGCACAGCCTTCCATAAACACTTCCTGTAAAGAGAGCCCTATTTAGGCTTTCTTTATTGCAAGTTCTGTTTAATTAAAATTGTCTTATCCCCTGCTATGTTAATAGCTTGCTAGACCCTGCAAGAGCCTCCTGCATGTGATTAAAGTTCAATTTAGAGATTGAGATACAATTATTTAAGGTAAATTACATCTGTTTGAAAGTGAAACCAGTTTTTTTTTTCCATGCAGGCTCTGTCAATCATAGCCAGGGGAGGTGTGGCTAGGGCTGCATAAACAGAAACAAAGTGATTTAACTCCTAAATGGCAGTGAATTGAGCAGTGAAATTGCAGGGGAATGATCTATACACTAAAACTGCTTTATTTAGTAATTTAGGTGACTTTAATGTTCCTTTAATATACTAATTTTGTATACACGTACCTGGGAAGTACAGTTTGGTTGGCGGTTCCACTTTAAAAAGAGGTGGGTCTGGCTTCCCCAGCTGCTATTGACTACAGTAATTTTTGAAAATGTAGTCAAATGTCAAAAAGGGCTTACATTGCCCATCCCTAGTTAAAGTTATAGCTTTCTGAACGTTGCTGGTGTATTTGAAGTGTTCTATGAGTTTGATGTTATGTTGAACACAGTGTTTGTTGCAGCTGGGCAGAGCCTTTAATTATTAATCTCAGGCTTTCTAAAGATATTTGTTGTAGCGCAGTCAATTTGTAATAAATGGCAAAATGAATGGCTTAACACAGAAAGGGAATTCCTGAGATTTCCAAACTAACCAGTACGTAAAAGTGCCATCAGAATATACACAGGTTGTGGTATCTGGGCATTAGAGTTGGACTGGTTACGCAGTCCAGCTATAAGTCTTCTTTAGACACTTGTGATTGCAGCCGGTCGTTACATGTCTTCCCAAACGGCATACAGTTCTACCTTCTTTATATGTTTAAAGGGACATTAGCGTTTTCAAAAACATGAACACAAAAATATGTACATATGAATCATACCCATACTTTGGATTTCTCTCCACTCTGTCTGCAGCAATGTACCAAGACGTGACTTCCATTTCTCCTCGATGGCAGATCCCATTGTTGTCAGATACTTCCCAGCACTAGTAGTATGACATTTGCAAGACAGACCAGAGTTGAGGTGTGCGCTTGGTCTGCATTGATACATGTAGGAAAGACAAACCCAAAAAGGGGGCATGTGAGCTTGGCACACAGTGAAAGGCAGCTTTGCCAGCTTGTCTGGGCTGGTTGCCCATTAACAACAATGCCTGCATTGGCCAGTTCAAGCATGTGCTTCTTCTATGCATTTTGGAGATGTATCTCTGGTATATGACCGATACTAGGTGCATAATTAAATAAAAGCCTCTAGGCCAGGCTTCCCAAAACTCTGGCCCTCCAGAAGTGGCTGAACTACAACTCCCATGATTCTCAGCCTATCTATTTCATTCATAGAATCATGGGAGTTGTAGTTCAGCAACATCTGGAGGGCCGGAGTTTGGGGAAGCCTGCGGCTGTGTCTGTCAACTTGTATCCTGACAAAATCTAATGTTTAACGAATAGCCTTGTTAGTATTTCCATGGTGTTTTCACTAGAGGGCAGCAGTCACCTCCAATGACAGGGCACAGAAAATCCACCAGTTCCATTTCAAGCTAAGGTATGCAGAAGGTGGTATGGACTTGGCATCATCTGAGTGAGCAAATCATGATGTCTGGATTGGTATCTCAGTGTGGTTTTACTGTTCTCTTTATTCCAGTCCCCAGACTGAAACAAGGAACTTTTATTTCAGGGGCCACAATATCTACGATATGCGCATACTTACATCTAATTACTTCAAGAAGCTGTAACTTGCTGAGATTTTTCTAGTCTTTAAGAGCAGAAACACGCAACACGTGTCTGGGCAGAGAATGCACTTTATTATCAGGGCGGGAATGATATCTAAATACTAAGACTATACTTTTACTTAGAACATAAAAAAACAAAACATACAACAATAATGATGCAGTTTCATGATGTATTGGTTCTTATTTTCAGAGGTCACATATACAGGCAAACTTAGTAAAGGATGTTAGCCACTGATACACCTTTCTCTTCCGGTGCCTAGATTTATTTATGAGTGCCATAAGTGAACTATGCTTCTTTGCTTGCAGACACCCAGACAGTGCTCCATAGACTGTGGCTCTTTGTTTGCAGAAACTCATACAGTGCTCCATAGACTGTGGTTCTTTGCTTGCAGAAACTCATACAGTGCTCTGTGAGAGTGGGGTTCTTAATAATCTGTGGGATTGTGCTGGGGCGAGATGGATTGCCACCAGGAGGTAACAAGTGGTTTTGCAGTTTAGTATATTGTAGCTGCCAGCAAGAGCATGACAGGGCAACCTGACAATGACTACACAGTGATGGCAACAGCCCAGTGATAATGAAGCTGTTGTCTATTAATATTATTTATAAAGCGCCAACAAATTCAGTACCGCTGTACAATAGGTGGACTAGCAGACAAGTATTTGCAACAAGACTAGTTGGACGCACAGAAACAGAAGGTGTTGAGGACCCTGCTCAAACGAGCTTACATACTAGAGGTAGTGGGGTAAAGTGGTACAAGAGGTAAGAGTAAGATGTATTTCATGTATTGGAAAAAGTATGTTGCTTAAAGAAACACTATAGTCACCAGAACAACTACAGCTTAATGTAGTAGTTCTGGTGAGTATAGTCAGTCCATACACACTTTTTGCACTTAACAAACAGGCAGTGTTTACATTACGGCCTAGGGACACCTCATGTGGCTAATCCTCAGATGGCTACATGAGGTGCTTTCTGGAGCAGTGCTACTGACATTCAGTGTCTTCACGCTCTGCATGGATACACTAAACTCTCCCCTTAGAGCTGAATTGATTAAATGCATCTCTTTGAGGAGATGCTGATGGGCCAGGGTGGAATTTGGCCCTGGCCCACCTACTTGGTGATGTCAGCCAAGGAGAACGATCAGGGGAAGAGCCAGCAGCAGTAGACTGGAATAAAGGTAAGATTTTACTATATTTAGGGGATTAAGAGGGATCCAGGTGGGCTAGATAGTGTTTTTAACAGAATAGGGTCAGGAATACATAGTGTTCCTTTAAATAGTTTACAATGAAGGGTTAGTTTTGTGACGGAAGTAGTTGCAGGAAATGAAATAAAGGAGGGTCACCAAGGTGTGGGTAAGGAAAGCTATCAATGATTTTTTGAAGGATCAGAGATACAGGTCTTCTGCAGAGCGTAGGGGCCTTGATTGGACATACTTATATATTAGTGAGGATAGGTAGGTAGGAGCAACATTATGTAGAGATTTGTAAACAAGCACCAGAATTTTAAATTGAGTTATTTCTCCTCTTGTTTTGCCTATGATATCTTGTCTTGTTTTAGTTTTATTGGAAGCCAGTGTAAGGATTAACAGGTGGGGGAGGCGTGAATAGTGCAGGCAGATAGGAAGCTGAGCCTCGCCGAGCCTCGCCACCACATTAATTACGGATTATAATGTGGCAAGATGGGAATGCGTAAGACCACTGAGAAGCGAAATGCAGTAGTCAAGGTGAGCGAAGATAGCGGCATGGACCAATACCTTACCCGCAATCCAACACGGAACAGGGGAAGATACAAGCTATGTTTTTGAGATGGAAGCAGCAGGATTTGGTGAGTGACTGGCCTTGAGGGGTGGAGAGGTTAGATTTAAAACGAATACCTAGGCAGCGAGCCTGCTAGTTAGAGCTGATGCTAGCGCAGTTAACTTGGAGGGAGACAGACACAGCTGTTGCAACACATGAAGGACAAAAGACGAGAAGTTCTGTTTTGGACAGGTTACGTTTAAGGAAGTGAGCAGCCATCCAGTTAGAAACAGCAGAGAGGGACAGTGAGAGATCAGGAGAGGAAAGATAGATTTGCATGTCATCCGCATAGAAGTGATATTGAAAGTCAAAGGATGAGTTTACTAAGGGAGAACAGTAGGGATCAAGGACTGAACTATTCGGAACACCAACAGAGAGGGCCTTGTGGAGAAGAGGAAAAGCCAGAAAAAGTAAGAGTGCTGGCAAAGATGGGAGGAGAACTAGGAGAGAGCAGAGTCTGCGGAGGGTGAGAAGAAGTTGGTGAGATGCCCTTCCAATACCCCTCAAGTTACTGCAGTGACCCCTTCAGTTTAGTAACAGGTTTTGAAATAGGAAGTAAGTAAATGTTGTCCATATCAAACACTAAAAGCAATATAGTTTTGGCTAAAATGCTCCTGTAGGTGGCTGCTTACTTCGCCTATTGCCACATCAAGCCCTGTATATGCAGGCATGGTGATTTAATAGTCCTCGGGTATATTTCACCTCTGAATGTCTCTATAGAGGTACCATTTCTCTTATACACAAATACTGATGTACCATCTAGTTTTTCTTTAGCTTTTATGGCTTCCTGATATACGTACAAAAATGTAAATCTCTATTAAATACAATACTGTTTTGTCTCTTGGTTTCCATGACTGCAGGTTTTTGTCTTTCCCATATATTTAAATGTATTTTTTATGTTAATGCTCGCTCTCTGGAAGACTCATGACCTTGAAACCCTGTTAGCACAATTCTTAGTGTAATGCATGTCGATCCTTCAAGGCACGAGACACAGATCAGAGCCATAAACAAATAAAATACATGTATAATAGTTAAGTTTGTTTTTTATTTTTACTAGACCGCTTCCCAGACAACACAGGGGTCATCCTCTAGCACAAGGGTTGCCAAAAGTTAGATCTCCATCTGTCATACAATGCTATGCAAGCTGGGGATCTACTATTTGCCCATCCTTCAGGGCTGTATTTATGATGTTTGTGTGTTTGAATATAATCATGTTTTTGTATGGAGTATGTTTGTGTGCAGTGGTGTATCCTGGTTTTGTGCTGCCCTAGGCAGGACAAAACTTAGGCACCGCCACCCTAACCCACCCTTCCCCCCTGCCCCGCCTTCTGAATACACACACACACACACACATACTTACTGACAGATACGCATACACCAGTTAACAGGAGACATAGGGACACTAACAGACACACACACTAACAGACTCACAGACACACACACACTAATAGACATACACTCACTAACAGGCAGACACACACTCACTAACAGACACACACTCACTCACTAACAGACACACAGAGATACACACACTAACAGACACACACACATTTTTTTTAATTTACCCCCAGCCTCCTTACCTTTGGGAATTCTGTGGGGTTCTCCCTCTCCCTAGGGTCTAGTGGAGCTGCTGGGCGGTCGGTCGGGTGGTGCTGGCTAGGGAGCACTTTCCCTTGAGCACTCTGCTCAGCTCCCTCGTGCACCGCAGAGTGATGCCGAGAGCCGGAATATGACGTCATAGCCGCCAGCCCGCCTGGCTTGTCCGTTAGCCACAAGGCTAACAAGACATTTGCCCTGGGCATTTGGGGGCGGCTTTTTTTGCCGCCCCCTGGAAAGTGCTGCCCAAGTCAAATACCTTGTTTGCCTCGCGGCTAATACGTCCCTGTGTGTGTGCATGTAGGGGTGTATTTGTGTATATTGTTGGCACTGGAATGCAGTGGTGTATTTCTATATAATGTGTATGTTAGGCTGCATAATTCTACAGGCAGGGGGTGATGGACTTGCAGCTCCAGGCCCAGGCCCATGGAATAGGCCCATTTAAAAAAAAGTTTAAAAAAAATATACTTTTTGGGGGGGTGGGGGAGTTGCAACCTGACTGGTATTTTACCAGCACAGCCAGTATTTGAGGCTGCATGGCTGTGCCCGTATTGCAGCAATACCGGCAGTACAAATGCAGATATTTTTCTCAGTATAAACGGAGATTACTCTGCAATACCAGCACCGGCCAGTAGGGGTCACTGTGCATGGAGAGAGGCAGGGATAGGAAGTTACAGCATATCCTTCCCTGCCTCTCTCTACTCACTGATCGGGGGGGGGGGGAACCTGTCTCCCAGTGTCCACATGTTTCCCAGCCACTGTCCCTATGTCTCCCAGCCTGTGTCCCCATGTGTAACGGCACCCCCAGGCATAAAAGGGTTAAACTGCCATTTAGGAGATCTTCCCCTTCCAGAGACACAGGCACAGCTACTGCAGAACACCAATCCGCCGAACAGGAAACCATATGAATGCTGTAAACAGCCGAATAGGAAAAACCATACAAATAGGTTTACACTCAGTCAAACTGGAACAGCATACAATAAATCCCCCCAAGAACGAGACGAAGCTCCGTGTTGAGGGTCAAGCAGTGAACAGACAGAGCTGTGGGTTTATTGTGCCTATGTACACATTCTTACACATTAGTACCACCCACAGGGTTTTGGAACACAACCAATAAACACATACAATACACTCAGACACTCCCACACAATCCTCCCCTCTGCCTGTGATACAATTACCTTACACAATGGGTAATGTAATTATAACAAGCAGAGAAATAACATTTTTCCACATTATTCATAACTTGAAAAGTATGCATCACATTCACATTCAGAATCAGCATACTCCAAATACAAACATACGTCAAAATCATACAAATTGGTCCAGTGGTTCAAAAGATAGATGGTAGTCCTTTGTGACCACAGGAAGCATGGCTTTTCTGCCCAAAACCAGTTCCACAGAGTCTTCTATCCTGGAGATAATTAAAAGTAATCCAATTATCTCCAAAGACAGAGGCAAAACTCCATTGAACACATGGCAGCAAAAAGACAGTAAAATACAATAAAAACATATAACTTGCAGCCATTGCACAAAACAAGTACATTCAACATATCCCCAGATAGCTCAGATCTGAGCGCACATTATTACTGAATGGCGCTCAGAGCACACACATACAGTTTAATTGCCATGGAGCCAAAGTCTTTCCCATAGTCTTTCATTATACGAATGGGCTCCATGGCATAGCTATCTGGGGTATCACCGCTCAAACAGGGCAAGCACCAAATGACCCGGCTTTCATGTCTTTGCAGGGGAAAATCAAGCCTTTTAACATGGGGCCATAATCCAAAGGCAACAGGCGAGCAACCAGGCTTCTCCAATGCAATGTGGCGCGATTGGTCTCGTCACACCATGTCTCTCAGTGTCCTGACACTGTGATACATAGGGACACTGATGCCAGGCATGTTCGCCCCTTTTGGCAGTTCTGGTCACGTGATTCGCGTGTCACCCTTTTACCCCGCCCGTTGACTTTCTGCTTCACTGGACACTGCTGTTAGGGGTTATGGATTTAGTTGAAAGATGAAAGCATAAATTAGAGAGAGATTAGCATAGGGTGTGTGTTTTCTTATAGCTGCATCTTTTGAGTTTCCCTCCAACACCATCTCCATCAGATACATGAAGCTTGGGAGGTATGACTGTTTTAGTGTTTTTGGTCGATAAGATTCTGTAATTAGGCCCC